AGCGAGACAATTCCATTACTGGTCTGGCGGTAGACCAAGAGGGCAGCCCTGAAGGTCTTATCCCACTCGACAGGTATGCAATGATGGCAATTTCGTTCTTAAGTAAGGAATATCCGACCATTTGCTCCTCACAGCAGTAAGCAGTGTAACGAGACTAAGGGTCAGTGCCAGGTCAAAGGTTGATGCTCCACTCGTGATGTCGAACACAATGCTGAGCGCAATCTGCTCTGTGTCCTTCAGAGCTGTGATGATCAACACTCTACTACGATCAAGGCCGAACGAATGGTTAACGTGTAGGATGTTAGGGATATGACACCCTTCGGTTTGCTCAGTGTCGGGGAATATGCACATTGTCAACTGCGTGTGTTGATGACTATAAGGAAACTGTTGTGGGTTTTGTACGCTTCTACGTTGAGTCATGTGTGATGAATTTTCCCTATGCAGTGGGACAACTCCTGAGCCCGGCTGGGGAAACCGAACATATTCCAATACTGGGTTCCCTAGCTAAGTTATTCGCCACTACTCGCAAGTCTCATGAAGTTTTCTACTGTTTGCCCGACCATACTGGATCCGTCAACGAAGTATGTTTCCATTCTGCGGAGTCATACGTTGGCAGAGCTAGCCTGGCAGAGCTATTATCAATCCCTGTTCGGGGGAGTATACAACCGCTTTACCACCCTATTCCATATGGTTCACCGTGCTGTCGTGTTCAGTGAAGCACTGTATTGCGTAATGGATCCTACGTCATCTAAGTGGTATCATGGGCTCTCATCTCTGGTCACGAATCCACTGTTGAGCTCCTCCTCTTGAGCGGACACAACCCTTGCCACTGGTTGCTTCTTAGCGGAAAGCAGTCGCTTGATGTGACTCGTTTGCTCACCTTATTGTGTTGGTTAGTCTTAGTCTTCTATAGGGAGTATGAGAATGCTTCTCCGAGAAGCATTCTCATGGACTTCATTGGGATCGTTAGAGTCCATCCGAGTTCCACTTTATAATGCAAATCGGCGAGAAAACATGTTGCATCGTCACGGGTGGTGCCTCGGGCCTTGGCGAGACTACTGCCCGCGTTCTGGCTGGGAAGGGTGCCAAGGTTGCGGTCCTGGACATGAACACCGAGAAGGGAGAGGCTGTTGCGAAGTCTATCGGTAGACCATCCCTATGGACTTGTTGTGCATGAAGTTGCTTGTAGGGGTCGTTTCGTCTCAGGTGGTTACTTCGTACATGTTGATCTGTTGAATGAGTCCTCGATCGAGGGCGCAGTGTCAAAGGCTGTCGACT